GCCTGTGGTCCCAGCTACTTGGGAGGCTGAGGCAGGAGACTCGCTTGAGCCCAGGAGTTGGAGGTTGCTGTGAGCTGTGATGCCATAGCACTCTATCCAGGGGGACAGCTTGAGGCTCTGTCTCAAAAACAAAAAAAAGATAGAAAGAAATTCTGAAAAACTGTCAGAGCTAAGAGGAGCCTAAGGAGACATGAAGAACAAATGTAATGAGGCATTCTAGACGAGATCCGGGAACAGAGAAAGGACATTGAATAAGAACTAAGGAAATCTGAACAAAGTATGTCCTTTATTTAACATGAAAGTCTTAATAAAGTGCTTCATTGACTGCTACAAATGTACCACACCAATCTAAGATGCCATGAATGGGGAATCTGTGTTTGGTGGGGGAGTGAAAATAAACAACATTTAAAGAAACCAGAAAAAACCCTTTTGGGATCAGAGTCATGTAGCATATAGTTATAACTGCTGCTTCTTAGATTATAGATTAACTCTCTTCCTCCTTGTTCTTACTCTATAAACCATGAGAAAAGAGCACAAACACGGCCTCCCCCCTTCCAATCACGGATCCTTGCTGGAGATTAACTGCCTGCTTTCCTGTCTCATTGGCAGGCCAGATGGCACAAACCCCATGACTGTTACCTCCTCAGTGTAGAAGGGTAAATATCCCTTTCCTAAAAGAAAAAGACCACCTTGACCATCATAATTATGCATTAAACCTTATATATAAAGGTGTCTGAAATTCTGTCAAGCTTCCCTAAACTTTGCCTATACTATTGCGGAATCTCAAACTTCTACACTTTGAAAGACTGACTTCTCTTCTGTGTGATTCTGTGTTTTCTGGACTGCTATCCTCAAATTTTTCTCTTAAATAAACTCTCTTTAGACTAGATTCTGACCTTTTTGATTATTAACTTAGGTGGACAGGAGCATAGGGGAATTCTGTACTGTCTTCTCAATTATTCTGTAAATCTAACGCTGTTCTAAAAAATAAAACCTGAGAGGGGGAGAGAGACACACCAGCTAATGTGAGATTCGCATCCACTGGACAGTTTAATTTCTCAGCAGAGACAGATCCATTTCATTCACCTTCATAAATTTCCGTCTTGAGGCTTTAGTTGTTGGCAGGAATTGTTCCTCAGAGCCTGTGAGAACTAAGTAAATGTCTCTAACATACATGGAACGGAAGAAGAAAATGTGAACCCTTGCCAACCCTATCCGGTTTCTATCCCTTATCAAGTTACTAATTCCTAAATTAATTTATGAAGATTTGATATTAAAAGATGAACTTTTATGGAAAGGCTTTAAAATATTAATCTCTATTTCTATCAATAAGGCCTAAAACAGGAAATCTTTTCCTCCTGTATTCCAGACTTTATTTGTTGAATAAATAAAAATACTGAAAAAGAGGAAACTTTTTAAAATGAGTTACTGAACATATTTTATCATGATTGTAGAAATTACGTCATCGTACCACTGATAGTATATCTTAGATTTGTTTCCAATTATACAAATTACTTTAGCAAACAAATTTAAGCTTTCTTGTTATTAGTTTTTAAAAGAAATCTACATTTTAAGCATATTTCTCATTGGCTCTATTTATCCAGCTGCTGAGTTATAAATGTACTTCCCGTTAAGGAACCACATTTTAAGTTCCCAGGTTGCTTTTCCTTCTCTTCGTAATCCTCCCCTAACAACTGATAAGACTTTGACAGTAAAGAAAGGTACTGCCTGCACATTTGCGATTTACAGTAATTCTAGAAATTCATCCTGGATGAACTATGTACAAAATTCCTTCTTGTTGCCCTTTATTGATTTCCAACACTCTGTGTAACTTTCTCTTTCAATCCTCAATTTAAATCCTTTTCCTAAAAGACGATAATGTAGAAAAATGCCTAGGAGGGTGGAAGCAGACAACAGCAAAACCCAAACACATTGTGACCAATTCCAAAATGCATTAGCTGCTTCTGTCTCAAAAGAGTAATTCAGAGTTTTCTTTGTGTTTACACTCCCGGAGGAAATTTCTATAAAATATAAAGAGAACTTTAAGCTGCTTGTTCACAGGACACAGATCAGAAACACTGGGCAAGACAAATGCCTATCGGATCCTGTGCTGGCTCCCGGGGCCAGATCACCCCTCCCAGGCAGCCCCCCACCTCCGTGAGAACCCCCAGGGACCAGATTTCTCTCCATATAGCCAATGTCATCCTGTCCTGAGTCCCCTGGCAAGTCTGCATTCTGCCCATGAAAATTTGGGATCCAAAATGAAGCAACTAGCAAGAGTCATAAAGTGATCATAATATTAGTCTTTACACCTGAAAAAAAGTATTATTTCCACAGGCACAGCTTCCAAAGGCACATGATTTAAGATATTACACAAAAATCCTAGGATCCCTACGGCATTATTTTGTCCTTTTTTGCACAGTCATTTCACATTCTTGTCCACTTTAATCCAAATCAGACACCTCAATCATCTTTTTTAATACAAATATATTTTTAAGGCAGAATTTTTGAAAACTCAATTTCTACAAACATTTTACTGGAATATTCATCCTACTATTTTTTCTATTTTTCCACTTCTCATGTGCCCAGTTGGTGCAGTGAACGACGTTCCCTAACCAACTGACTCAGTCTCTTTTCTTCCTCTTAGAAATTGTACCTTTATCCTAGGATGGATGGATGAAGGACTCACATGAAGAGGGAGCTCGTGTTTGTCCCTGGCTGGGCGAGGAGACAAGTGGTCAGCCAGCAGCTATAATCCTCATCCCTAAGGGCGTCTCACTCCACAGCCCTCTGAACTGGATGCAAGGGCAGCCCTTTGGGAAGATTCCAACAGAGAAGATTCCCCCGGCTCCGTGGAGCCCTGTTCTTCCCCCATTATAGCAGTGTTGCTCATGCCTCCAAAAATAAGTCTAAAAGGAAATCCCAAACGAAAATGCCCCCCTCCCTTCACTTCCAAATCCTCACACATTACAACCCTCCCAAATTCATGTTGCCCAATATTGTAGCAAAATACGAGCCATTTTCTAGAATGAGCCCCAGTTTTAACCTTTGGCTTCAGTTTGATGGTGTGGACGTTCATTTTCCCACTCTGGTAAATTACCATAGGATTTGGGTCCCTGTCATTAAGGTATCAATTCAGAGATACATGGTGGTGGCTCAGTCCTCTCCCCACCTTGCCCTCCATTGGCCGCGACCGTGAAGGAAAGCTCCCTACCTTTCACTGAGACTCCTCCACAACTGTGCACCTGCAATGGGAGAAGCGAAATGTGAAACTAAACCAACATATTTTTCCCCTGAGACACTTTTCAACTTAGAGATATATTCCAAGCTATTTAAAGTGGGACACTTTAGAACTCTAGACACAATCAAATTATACTATATACTTCTAGAACCATGACTAATACAGCAATTAGCCCAGAAATATTTACCGAGATTCTACAAAATACAAAACACTTGAGTAGGTACCATGGGGGATGCTATGCTCTATAATACCTGGTCCTTGTCTCAGACATTTTACTGTCCACTGCGGCAGACAAAATATACCCTAGTGATATGACTAAGGTGAGCAGATTTTAACATTGGTAAAGCGGGACACCATTGAGGGGGAGGGGTGGGGGGGGCGGGTCCTGACAACAATGCAAACTTTGATAAGCAGTTCTCGATAATCAGTTCTCAACAATTATTTGTTATTATTAAAGTTTAACATTATAAAATTAACAAAAATAATATAAAACTCATATCCTGTTGAAATAGCCATATGGCAGCTGAAAACCGTATATTCCCTTCCTGTTCTCCTGTGTTCCCTAGCTTGTCGTTTATTCTTTCCAAAAATCGGGACCAGCCGGCGGCACTTGTTTGTTCCAGACAGTTTGGCTCCTTCTGAGCTAATTGTCCTTGCCTAGAAGCAAGGGAGGGAGCCAGTCTCCTTCTGGCTTGCCCAGAAGGGGATTAGGGACCTTGCCCAGGAGGGGAGTAGGGAGATTACATTAGCCTTTTCATTTCCAAATGAAGTTACATTAACCTTTTCATTCTCAAATGGAGTTACATTAACCCTTTCAGCAGCCTAAAACAGTATATTTCCTTCCCATTCTCCTGCTGTTCCCTAGCTTGTCATGCATTCTTTCCAAAAATCAGGACTTTTTAAAAATGCTGCAGGATGTGAGACAAATTGTTAAAAATCCAGAATGTCCGTCCAAAAGCGGGACGTCTGGTCACCTTAGATATGACCCAAGGTAGGCAGCAGAGGAGCTGTGAGAGAGGCCTAAGCCACAACAGCTCAGGGAAGAAAGAAAACGTGGCTGCTTAAAAAGGGCCAAAGTGCACTAAGGTGAATCTTGACACGGTGCTGACAAAACTAAGACAACTATTATTTGAAAAAAAATAGAAAAATTTTATTTATTTGAACTGTAGATGTTCTAAGCTTCTATTTAGGATCAAATGAAATTAACAGAAAATGCATATATATCTAGATCTCATATGCTTTCTTAATTTTCCAATGAATGTTTTTATTGGACTATGTCTTGTATTATACTCCCATCTATCAGCTTTAAAGAAACTCAATATAAGAAATGACCATGAGAAGATCTCTGCACTTACTATCAGACAAAAGGCCAAAGATGTTCCCTTATGTTCTTCAATAGCCCCTTTCAAAGATCTATGGATAAATTCTTTTTTAACATTTACTTTCAGGCATAAATTTCTGAAAATTGCTTGTTTCATTGTTTTCAATTAGAATTGTGCAATTAATCCAACTGCCCTTTCTGGCTCAGCCACCAGTAAGCATGAGGATAAATAAACAAAAGCTATTGCTCAATCATGGTCACTCCTGCTTATCTACTTGACCTCTTTTCAACAGTTTTGTGTTTTATGTTCCTAGTAAGCTGCTTCAAACATTTTGGAGTGAAGTGGCATATAAAAACAAATCAACAACTTAAAAGGACCCAAGGAATTATGAGCAGCAGTGAGGTCTCAACTAAAATTGGAAGGTGAAAAGACTACATTCCAGAGGCATCAACTCCTCATGTCGCCTGGCATTTCTCTAACAACAAAGAAGCCAAGAGTGGAGAAAGCAGACAATGGTGTAGGATGTCTGTTTGCTTGCTTGCTTTTATTATTAAACACTGTAGAAGCCAGTATTGTTGATGGGTAAGGAAACAAGGACCTTTGGAATGGTAAGGACAGCAACTCCATAATGAGATGAGCTGAGACCAGGCAGGGGCTGTGCAGAGGGAGAAACGCAGGCCAAAGGCAAGACTGAGGGACAGGCTGAAAGGCAAAAAGGCTGAACAGGAAAGAGTCAAATTGTGGTCAAAGAGCTGGTTCAACAGGAGCCAGAGGCAGGGGAGGAGCAGACCCAGAGCACACTGAGAATTGACTCTCCCACTCTGCAGATAGTAGAGACAGGGAGCTTCCAAAGGACCAGGTCAAAGATGAGGCGACCTTGTAGGTGACCAAATCCAAGCTGTCAGACAAGCCACTGGAGTACAGGTGGGAATGGCAGACAGAGTGCAGGAAAGTCTACAGTTCTCGGGCCACCAACCCAACTGGGTCTTCAGTCAATAGCAACTGGGTGCTAAGGATGTGGCCTAAGTGTATAGTGAAAATGTCACAGGAGGGGAGGCAGAAAGAGGCCGTGGGTGCAAATGCTCCATATGGGGCTGGGGGAGCCATGAGGCCACCTATTGACCCCTCCTCTCATGGCACAGGGCAGTAGTTGAACTTCTACAGAGCCAGGGGCAGAAATGATTGGTTCTATTTCAATGAGAGAGAGAGAGAGAAAAGATGATTAAGGAAAAGTTTAAGGATACAGGAGCAGTTTTTCAGGCCACTGAAGAATTCCTCAGAACCCAGACTAAGAGACTCATGCAGGGAAGCAGGCGCTCAGGTGCACACCAAGGAGAGAGACCCCTGGCAGCTAGCAGATGTTTGCACAGGAGCTCACAAAATAGAGACTGGGTTCCTGTAGCCTTCACAGAGTTAACTCCCAAGATGGTATCCTTTTTTTTTTTTTTTTTGGCCCATCTATTTCCTAGTAAGCATCTAAGATGATGTAGAACAGTGACTTTTAACCAGTGAGCCATGAAAATTTTTAAAAATCATTTAGTAAGTTATTTTTGAAAGAAGTTCAAAGCACGGTAAGTATATTCTTTTTTACTCTTTTTTTCATCAACATAATTTAAGTACGCCATGGAAGTTTAACTACAGGTTCAAGTGTGCTGGGAGATAAAGAAAGGTTGAAAACCTCTGGTGTAGTGACAGTAACTGGGGACAGTCAAACTCAAGGGCGGCTGCCAGGGGCTGGAGGAAGGAGAAAGGGAGCCTTGGCTGTTCAGCGTGTGCAGAGTTCCAGCCTTCAATGATGAAACGTTCCAGGAGTCTGCTCGACAACAAGGAACATATTGTCTATAATACTGTGCACTTAAAAATTCATTAAGAGAGTAAAAAGAAATTGGAAACTGTGGGGAGGGGCAGAATGAAACTCTTCTCTATAAAAGTTGAATATCTTTAGCCAAAAAAACACAAGAAGCAGAGAAGCTGAGATCCTCAGGCTGCCTAAAGAGACCGAATGTGAGGCTGTCCTACTGTCATTGTCACTGCTGTGAGCTGAGGTGTCTGATGAGAGTGGCTGGCAGCTCTGACTGAAGCCATGGCATTGCCATAACTGCCTGTGGTCCTGACTTGAGGCCAAACTGCGCCTTGCAGAGACCAATTCATGGCAGGAGCGCTCCGAGGCCTGCAAATTCAGCCTCCTGCCAACTATTCGCAAGGCTCAAATGGGTCTTTGTCCGAAAGATTTTACTAAAGAAAGACGAAGCCGGCAGCAGTGTTTCCTCAGTCAGAGACTAAAGAGGTCTGGGAAAGTAGAGTAATTATTCCCCTTTCTCCTTCCCCCCGCCACCCCATGCAGTAGAAATGCTATATTCAGAGCAATGTCACCGGGTGAAAAGCCTGACAGAAAGATTGGACTCCAACAAAGACCTGCCCCTGGAGTGTGAGGGCAGAAGCTGGCTGTGTCCGGATCCCACCGGAGGCCCCGGTGCCCAGGAGCGGCCTTGACACAGAAGGGCGCTCAGCACAGACGGACCGTCAACAAGCAAACCCCGTGTGGTCCTGGCAAGCAGCCCATCACTATGCTGAAGGCATTTATTTTATGCCTTTATTTGACCCTTCTAAAGCCCTGTGGTAGGAGGAGGGTTTCTACAGTTTTACAAGACAAAAAGTTTCAAATAGAAGAGTAGGCTGAGTAAGTAGCTTACAAGGATATCAAGTCTTAATTCTTGAAATCTGTGAATGTTATTTTATGTGGAAAAGGTGTCTCTGGGGTGGCATCTGTGACTCAGTGGGTAGGGCACCGACCCCATATACTGAGTGTGGCGGGCTCGAACCCAGCCTCAGCCAAACTGCAACAAGAAAAATAGCTGGGAGTTGTAGCAGGTGCCTATAGTTCCAGCTACTCTGGAGGCTGAGGCCAGAGAATCACTTAAGCCCAGGAGTTTGAGGTTGCTGTGAGCTGTGATGCCACAGCACTCTACCGAGGGCGACATAATGAAACTCTGTCTCTAAAAAAAAAAAGAAAAGAAAAGGCATCTCTGCAGATGTGATCAGGCCAAGACACATGAGACATGGAAATAATCTTGCATGATCGGGGGGCGGGGTCCCAAATGCAGTCACAAGTGTCCTTAGAAGAGGGAGACAGGCTGATGTGACACAGCAGCTGAGGCAGTGTGACCACAAGGACAGAGTCTGTGGATGATGCAGTGTAAGCTACCAGAGCTGAAAGAGGCGAGGGACAGACAGATCCTTCCCTAGAGCCTTGGAGGGAGTACATCCCTCCCAATGCATGGATTTTGGCCCAGTGATACTGACTTTGAACTATTGGCCTCTAGATATTAGAGAAAAAATTTCTGTTGAGAAATTTCTGGTTTGAGCCACAAAGTTTGCAACAATTTATAACAAGAGCCACAGACTCTATTTGGAAGGAAATGAAGTGAACTATCTCAGGAATCAGACTCTTTAGGCTAATATTCTTTTAACTCTACCACCTTAATTAGAGGACTGAACCTTTCTACTGGGAAGGTTTCCTGCAATTGGTAAGTATGGGATGTCCACATTTGCAAGGCCACATTGGAAACAATTCCCCTGTGAGAGGCCAGGAGTGACAAAAGGACAGTTCTAAAGTCTTTCAACTTCATCCTTGGCCTTTCACATTTGTCTATAACTTGTGTCCTGACTAGGGTCAAATTTAACTCACCCAGAAAACACTGAGGTCCTCAGTTTGCTTTTGAGCCAACTTGCTCTGCTCAGCTAAGATGGCTGCTATTAAACGTGCGGGTGGCTTTATCTTCTAAGAGTCCCATGAGGAGGCCCCAGAGGTTCAAAACATTACAAAGTCTAAACAAGCTCCTCTCTGTTGGGCACAAATCAGACTGAGGCAGGGCGATCGCCAGGGATTGCTCAACAAAACCCTATTGCACAGAGAGGCACCACCTCCAGGTGGTTTCACACATCCTTGGTGGATGAGTATCAGAGCAATGGTCTGCTACAGCCTGAAGTTGGGGAGCTACGTATCTGCTCTCCGAAATAGAAAAACGGAAAGTGAAGGGGTAGGGGGGAGGATTGCACATAAGAATGTAACTGAAATCCACAGAATCATGATAAAGCACTATCTGGACAAAATTGCGTTTGTGAGTCTTCCCAGAACACTGGGAAGGGATTACCTTCAAAGCTGGAAACACACTAATGTAAAACAATTTTTCTAAAAACGGTTAACATGATAATTTAGTTTAAAAATCGTATGTATGGACTTAAAATATAAACTGCATTTAAAGCAGACCCACGGAAGATGATAGGATGCCCATAACAGCTCATGTCCCTGGTCTGGAGCTGCCATTAGGAAGGAGAAGCTGCTGCCCACAAAGCTGGACTCGGTTTCCCCACCAGGTCCGGAATTCTGGGCAGTTCTCATGCACATCAACACACATGGACCTCAGCCAAAATAATCCCTCCACTTTGGGGAGGTACATTTGCCTCATTGTAACCTCCTCTTGAGTATTCTTGATCACATTGACCTTCTTACATTTAGGTTCCTAGGGTTCAATTACTCCTAGGAGGGTTTTTTGTCCAGTTACCAAAACTAACTCAAACACTGGGAGAAGAGGCCACCCAAGTATGGCAAAGCTTGACTTAGAACTGTAACACACTTGAATTACTCAAAAGCAAATTAAGCAAATTTTAAAAATTCAAGCTCTACCTTGAAAACTTAATGCTTAAAATCAATTCCTTTTCATCATTAACTCATTTTTTAGAATCTATTTAACCATTACTCGTTTTTTTTTAATTAAATGATAGCTCTATACATTAATGCAAACAGGGGGTACAGTGTAGTGTTTTCACATACATTTTGAAACACTTTCATCAAGCTGGTTCACATAAATTTCATGTAATTTGCATAGTCATTGTGTCAAAACATTTACATTCTATTTCTAGAAAAGTTCACTTGTTTTTAAACCCTAAATTAATTGTTTTCTTCTTCACTGGGGCAAAGAAATCTTTCACATACCAGTCCATTTCCCAGAAGCCCAGTCTCATCAGGTAGCATGTAATAAATATTTAACTGTTACCTTCACTCTAGTCTACATAAACATCATAATGGTATTTAAAATACCAAAGTCAAGAAATGAATCAGCATACACAAACCTCTGCCCGGCAGTTATGACTAGGGAAATGTCAGTGAAGTAAATTAACATATTTTAAAAAGCCAAGTCAATGCCTATATAATCTATTACTTTGCTCCTGTTCAAAATGCGAATTAATTAATATGTCTACTCAAAGATCAGAAATTCAAGATCTAGAAAATTAAACACACATAAAAATAAAATCTCAGTGTTCTTACCTCTTGTTCTAGACAAAACCATATCCTTTATTATTTGCATAATTACACGCCCAAGTATCATGATGGAAATCAGGTGATACACTCTCCATGGAGTCAATGCAAGAAACCTATAAACAGCAAAACAGACAAATTATTATTTCAATTTGAGGATTTTTAATCCTTTTTAAAACTTAGGCTTACTTCCTGCCACAGAAACAAAAAATGCATTCAATAATGATTTCACTTTTCGAAATCACCCCTATGTGATTGCATGAAGTTTATTCAATAGGCATAAAGTACTTGACTCATGTGCACTTTTGTGCTAGGCTTTCTACTCTTCCGTCTAATTTGAGCAGAAGATTTGCTATCTTGGGTATGGCCCAATATTGCACCCAGGGCTGAGCTTCTCTGCTAACATGTGAAGAATGGAACTGACCTGAAACAGGGTGGGCAGCAAAGCTGAGCTGCAGAGCTTCCTAACAGACCCAGGTCAGCAGATGCCCTTTGTTCACTGTCCCCTGTCTTATGTTTTTCTTTTATCCCCTATGCACTTTTCTACCTCACCCCCACCTCTTAAAAACAGTCGGTTTTAAGGATCCAATTTGCTAACTCTTTCTCTTTAAGATCATGCCCCTTTTGTCCACCTGTCTGCTTCTTCTCTGGAGAGAAACAAACTAAAAATGCTTTGCTATGAATAGCACAGAAACTCTGCAGTACTTTTTTGGGTCGGGTTTATGAAAGAATAAAATCACAAAGAAGTCACAGAACCTTTGCACCTAGATGTCGAACTGAGGTTGAAACCCCTGCTTTACACAAGCTAATTGGCCAAGCGGCTGATTGTTATTAGCTTTGATGGAATCAGAACTCATAGAAAAATTAATTTTAAAAATGTTTAACACCAGTTGCCAGGCTAGATAGAGAAGGATACATGAGCCTTCTGTGAACTTGCTTTCTCATCAGGCAAACACAGGCAGAACTTACAAAGTCCAAGGAGCTGAAATAGCATTGTGAGCAAAGAGTGAGGAGAAGCACGAGGGAGGGATGGTTAACTCCAAAGCAGGGAAGGACTTATAGATGTGGGGCTCCAATACGGTTTGGAAGAATGGATGCAATGAGAGGATACAACATGAACAAAAGGTCAGAGTCAGCGGACAGGGGAAGCACCTGAGCCTGGCAGGCTGTGGCATTTGGTCCTATGCTACAGGCAATATTGAAAGCCCAAGATATAGAGCAAGAAAACGAAATGTAGGTAATTTAGGAAAATGCCTGGTGGGGCAGCAGAAAGCATGAGATGAGTGGAGAAGAAGCCCCGGAGTCCAGGCATCGCCTGGAAGGTTATGCAGTGTGTTTGGTGAGAAGGGGCTCTGCTGAGATGCTGGGTGAAGCCGAGACCCAACTTCCACCACTGACTCTGCTCTAAAGCTGACTGTATGTGTTGCCTAGACCAGAAAAATGAGTGTATGGCCTAATTCAGTGCTTCTTCACTACTGGTCTGCAACCACTGCCAGGGTGGGGAATGCAGATTCCTAGCCCCAAGGCTCCTACCCCTGGGTCCTCTCAAACAAGTGGTCTAATTACTGTATTTGCATCCACTAGAAAGGTATTTGTGGACTGCTACAGGGGCCAAGCACAGTGCTACCAAAAAAGAATAAATGGCATAAGGAGTGCAGAGAGATAAAATTAACAAAATTAATAAAATGCCATAATCCATGCCTTTAGCAACAATTTGTTCCTCCACTAAAGGAGCCACCACGTTCTCTGTTTTCATGGCCCTTGTGCTTGTTTTACCCAAGACCACGTTGTGTCATGTGTTCTGTTTGGGGTCTCCCTCCACATGCTCAGTTCAGGATGAATTCTTGCTCCTGTCCGTGTGCTGAGCTCTCTCCGTTTCCCCACCTCACATGGAAGAGGCAGTTTTCAAAATGCGGACAGTGATCCTCACTAAGGAACGACTTTACATCCAAATACATACAAAGAAAATAAGTTTTAAAAAATATTATCTATCCTTGCTAGTCACAGTACCTTTCAATATTTTCCATTCTCTTCTATTATGTACTTAACTGCTGGCTCTGACTCAGTACACTGACTCAGGACCCACTAATGAGCGGCAACATGGCGTGGCTCATAGGGCATGAGAAGGAACTGGTATTTTCCCTTAGAACGGCCTCTGTGCAGTGGCAGGCAAAGTCCTAGCAGACACAGAAGATTCCCTCCAGATTAAAGGTCCTCAGAGTGAGCCACAAAGCCGTTTAAGGATCTTTTTAAAAAACAAAGAAATATAATACCAACTGAAGCAATGAAGGCCATTAATTATTTTTTTAGTGGAAATTACAAACTTATAAGAATGAAACAAGTAATAACAGGACCTCAACCCACAGACCTGGCTGCCAGACCTAACTGGGAGGTCAATGCCATAGCAACTCCAAAGAGCACCAGGATGGCTGTTTCCTTTCTGTCCTAGGCAAGGGTCTAGGTGGCATCTTGGCCAACGTCTTCTTGGTCATTAAGAATCCTCTGTCATCTAAGAAGGCAACCCCAACAATTGCTCAGACTATATGGGACTACATAATTGATTCTTGGTAGTTTACCATTTTTTAGCCTCAAAATGATGTATAGAAATGTTTGAGAAACAAATCCCTAAGATGAAGAATTTCTACTTAAACAAACTAGTACAACCCCTGTGGAAAATTATCCGATTATACCTCTAAAACTTAAAGTAGACCTACCATTTGATCTAGCCCACTGGTGGGTGTACACCCAAAAGGAAGAAAGGTCATTTTATATAAATAATAAAAAAAAAACACCTGCACTTGAATGTTTATAGCAGCACAGTCCACAATCACAAAGATGTGGAAACAACCCAGGTGCCCACCAATATGACGGATTAGTAAGAGGTGGCATAGGCACACCATGGAGTACGACTCAGCCATACATATGCTGATCTGGCATCTTTGGTGACAACCTAGATGGAACTAGAGACCATTCTTTTAAGTGACATGTCACAGGAATAGAGAAACAAACACATGTACTCAATACCAAATTAGAACTAATAGATCAGGCTCGGCGCCTGTGGCTCAAGTGGCTAAGGCGTCAGTCACATACACCTAATGTGGCGGGTTTGAATCCAGCCCGGGCCCGCCAAACAATAATGATGGCTGCAACCAAAACATAGCCGGGCGTTGTGGCGGGCGCCTGTGGTCCCAGCTACTTGGGAGGCTGAGGCAGGAGACTCACTTGAGCCCAGGAGTTGGAGGTTGCTGTGAGCTGTGATGCCACAGCACTGTACCCAAGGGGACAGCTCGAGGCTCTGTCTCAAAAAAAAGAACTAATAGATCAACACTCGAGTGCACAGATGGAAGTAAATCTCAATGAAAATCAAACTGAGGGAAGGGGGAAGAGAGATGGGTAAACTCACACCTGCTGAGTACAGTGCACACTATCTGGCTAACGGGCACACTTGTAACTTTGACTCAATCTGTATAAAAAAGAAACTATGTAAATAAAACAGGTATACTCCTAATGTCCTGAAATTTTAAAAAAAGAAAAGTAAATGAAAAATAGAAGGTTAAAAAAATACTTGTAGAAATATAGATATTTAAAGATGTCATTCAAAAAGAGAGACTTTACATACTTGGTATTTTAATTATTTATCATTTATAATGAGTAAGATCATTTGTCTCACTCATTTGGTTCCACTTTGAAATATCTGGTTGTGCCAGGCGTGGTGGCTCACACCTGTAATCCTAGCATTCTGGGAAGCTGAGGCAGGTGGATTTCCTGAGCTTAGGAGTTTGAGATTATCCTAAGCAAGAGTGAGACCCCCATCTCTACTAAAATAAAAAACTAGCCGGGCATTGTGGTGGGCACCTATAGCCCCAGCTACTCAGTAGGCTGAGATAAGAGGGTTGCTTGAGCTCAAGAGTTTGAGGTTTCTATGAGCTATGATACTCTGGCACTCTGCCCAGGGCAACAGTGTGAGACTCTCTCTCAAAAATAATATATAAATAAATAAAATATTTGGTTAAGGTAGGCTTAGGGTTCGAAAAAAAATAAAATCTTAGATACACTTATAAATTTAATGTATTCATTTTACAGGTATTACGTAATATTTGAGAAGGATGGGCTGTTGGACAATTAAGGTGGTTTATAAAAAGCTCTTATTTCTGGTTAATTTCAAACACATAGAGAAAGAAAGGCCAGAGAATGAAGAACCAGCTTGACTTCTCCACGTACAATCTCCTATCTTCTATTACACTCTATAGTCCCACCTGCTAAGAACCACTAAATTACTGGGAGCTAATTCCAATCATTATATAATTTAATCTGTGAATACTGCCATTTATCTTCCAAGAATACTAGAAACAACAATACTAAAAGAGTATTTTAATTCTTAATGTCATCAGATATTCTATCAAGGTTCACACTTCCCCATTTTGGCTCATGTACACACACACTCAGCGACACAGAATGGAAAAAGCCCTACACTGTGGTAGATGTTTATTTTAAGTTTCCTGGATGATGCAGGTCCCTTGCCATCCTTTTTTTTTTTTTAATTCTATTAATTTTTTGCAGAAGAGGCAGACTCATTTGTCCAACAAAGTTTTCCATGAGTTCACAGTCCCCTTGTGATTTAGTTTAACATTTTCCGCTATCTTTCTTATAGATTATAAACTGGTAGCTGGATGCAGAGGCTTGATCAGATTTAGGTTAGATTTCATTTTTTCTGTAAAATCTTACAATAGGTGGTGATACGTGTTTCCACCAAAAGTCATACATACTGTTGGGGTGTCTGGTGCCCGTGTTTTTGTGACATGGTAGCCACAGGTGATCACTGCCTAGTGATTGAGTCCTCAGAGGCTACACTGGGGTGACAGACCTTCATTCCTGCTTTGGGGTGAGCTGGATCACGTCTAGAGAGACAGATTTGCCCTCATCAATGTCTGATTATGCTGAGGGATGGAGCTCATAAGAAAGGCTCAATTCCATGATCCTGCCCTTTATTTACCAGCCTTTTCCCAAGATAGCGAGGCCATATCCTGGCATCCTCTAAAGCAGTGGTTCTCAACCTTCCTAATGCTGTGGCCCTTTAATACAGTTCCTGTGGGTCATGACCCCCAGGTTGAGAACC